TACAAATAACAGTAAGTGGATCTGTCTCCGAAAAGGAGAAATATTAGATTGTTACAACGTGATTGCATATAGATAATAGAGATTTTTGTCAAAAAAACTATGTCTTAGACAAGAGGGAACATCTGAAAAAAGAAAAAAAAAATGTTTTTGGAGACCTAATTAAAATTTTTTAGAGTTTTATTAGGTATATGATAAAAATTAGATATGTAATCGAACCAAACAGAGCTTAAATATTTTTGAGTTCGTGTTTGATTATGTTCGGACATTGTTCGTATTCGTTTGTTTATTTTTTAACAAAAAAATGTGTTTAATCATGTTTTTTTAATGTTTGTTCAAGTTCGAGTTCTTTAATAGTTTAGTATCTATATATATATATAATAAGAATTAACATTTATAAAAAATAGTAAGTCAATCATTGGTCAAACCCTATCAACATTAATTACACTCCATTTATAGTATCCTTTTAATATATTTTTTACTAAAAAAGGACCGCATTAAATATTGTCCTGAAAATGAAGAATTTGTTACTTTTTTTATTTTCAAAAGAGTAGACTGCTATTTAAATTTGGTCTATTGAATATTTGTGATGGTTTGACAAGATGTGCATATCAAAAGCTGACAATGCACGTGTTGCATCAATTAAATTTAGTTATTGGTTACAATAAGCTATTTTTAAGTTTGAATAAAAATATATGTCACGATTGCTAATTCAATTAAATATCGGCCAATTATATTCTCCAAATTTAAAACAAATATTCAGTTAATACAATTGCTTTGCTTGGCAGGTTTTTTTTAATAAAAAAAATTACGACTGATTTAATAATAAAAAAAATTATGTGTTATTTTTTCTAACCATAAAAATATGCTTTTGTGTTTTCAAAATATTGGAAACTTTTTATTTTCTATAAAATCGGCTAATACATATATTTTATTAGCAAATTTTATTTAAACAAAATTACGGCTAATTTAAGGGTAAAAATATAAAATAAAAAAAATCATTTGTTTATTTTTTTTGCAAACATTTTTTCTAACCATCAAATCGGGCAGTTTCAATTAAAAGAATAAAATTGCGGCTGATTCAATTGTTTTGTTTGACAATTATTTATAATGAAAAATACTACACGGGTCTAATTTTGAAACGATCAAATTTTTTATAGTCTTTGTTTAAATCAGAGATTTGAAATAAGAATAATCTCCATATTTAAATTGTTTTAATTGTAAAACGTGATGTATACAAGATTTAGATAGATTTATCACATATCATCCTCTAAATTAATGATTTTTTTTTCAAAATACCAAATCAAATTTTTTATGGTATTTGTTTAAATCAGAGATTCAAAATATCTTAATCTCCATATTTAAATTGCTTTAATTGTAAAACATGATGTATACAAGATTTAGATAAATTTATCACATATCTCCCCTAAATTAATGATTTTATTTTTTTTCCAAGTTTCAAAATACCAAATCCTAAAGTTGCGGCTGATTTAATTATTAAACGATATTTTGCAATCATAGATTCGGCTTATCTTTAAATTCAAAATTTAAATTGCCGATATGTAGATAAATTTGGACATATTAAATACATATGACCCCTAAAATGAAAGATTTTATTCCATTAAAAAACATAAAATATGAACTTAAGATGTAGATTTTATTGTGCATGTGTGATAATACCATTTTACATGCTATGAAAGTCATATTGTTTACTCGTGCATCGCACGGACTACGCATTAGTTTTTTTTAAAGTGATTGATTAATTCAAGATATGTTTGTTGGAACCATTTGAGCTAAAATAAAATATATTCACAATTAAGATTTTTTGTTAAAAATAGTATAAAAAAATATATTAAATTAATGTTCGAGAACATTATTGAACAATTAAGAATGAGCTCTTGTTCGTAATTTGTATTCAATTTGCAATCGAATATATTCAATTGGAATTCCTTTTCAGAAATAATTATGAATGCATAAATATATTTATATAAATGTGTTATAATTTTTAATATATTTTTTAAATATGAATATCTTTTTGCATGTTAAATATTATTATCTATATATATCTTATAGGAATACAAATATTCTCTCTTATATATTAAACTACTACGTAACCCGTGCGATGCACTGGCTGTATATGTTTTGGTAAAGTTATAAAATGAAGACTATTAATCAATAAGTTATAATGCGTAACGCATTTGTCAAGTAGTAAAAACCTTCTTGTTTTTCCATGCAAATTCCTTTTGCACTTGTCAACTATAGACCGATATTTACCAAGATTGCTCTCAATTTGGTAATTGCGAATTGCATAGACACCTATTTCCTCTATTTCTTTGTTGATTTTCGGAATGGTAACACCGTGAAATAAAATTGTATAGAAAATATGTAATATTGTGATAAATACTAAATAAGTAAATATATGATTTATTAGCCGAGTTGCGATCCAAGGTGACAATGTGACCTGGGTCGCGTGATATTATGCATTT